CTGGGAACCCCTGAAAAGAGTCCAGCTCCATCCTCCTCCAACCCACCCTTTAGACACTTGTCAGCATTGATAAGGTCTCCCCTCAGCCTTCTCTTCTCCAGGCTCAAGAGCCCCAGCTCTCTCAGCCTTTCCTCATCAGGGAGATGCTCCAACCCCTCCAGCATCTCTGTTGCCCTACGCTGGACTCTCTCCAGCAGTTCCCTGTCTCTCTTGAACTGGGGAGCCCAGCACTGGAGGCAGGATTCCAGTTGTGGCCTCCCCAGTGCAGAGCAGAGGGGGAGAATGACCTCCCTCCACCTCCTGGCCACACTCTTCCCTCTGCAGCCCAGGATCCCATTGGCCTCTTGGCCACAAGGGCCCATTGCTGGCTCCTGGAGAGTTTACTGTCCACCAGGACCCCCAGATCCTTCTCCTCAGCAGTGCTTTCCAGCAGGTCCACCCCTAACCTGTGCTGGTGCCTGGGGTTCTTCCTCCCCAGGTGCAGGACCCTACACTTGCCCTTGTTGAACCTCATGAGGTTCTTCTCTGCCCAGCTCTCCAGCCTGTTAGATGGACCTGATCAGCACATTTTATGGAGCCATTCAATGGTTTGTGCCAAAGCCATTAATAATGGTGTGGAATAGCATCTACAGCAAGGGTGAGTGCTGAGGCTTCTGCCTAGTATGACGATCACTGCAGGATGCCATCTGCTTTCTCAGCTCCTTTGCAAGTGGCAGGAGATCAGAGTTCCCCTGAAATTCCGACCAATGATGGAGCAAGTTGCTGATAGGGAAAGATCCAGGTGATCATCCTGTACCCTGGCTCACCAGGGGCTGGGCCTCTGCCAAGACCTAGAGCGGAGGGAGAGGGCTGGGGAGAAGGAGGGCATCGCCCCGTCCATCTGCAGGTGGCATCAGGGCCCTGCCTCGGAGCCTCCTTTTATCTGCTGCTTTAGCAAAGTTCGGATGTGTTGGCTCTAAAGCATTTCTCTTGGCTCAAGACACGAAACCACTTTTGCCTCTGTGCTCCCACCTTCAAATCGTGCCCCAGCGAGTGCCAGCTGGGCCAGCTGCAGTAGCCCTGGATGTGTCTGTCCCGGGCTTCCTCTGCAAGGGAGGGAAAAGCTTCCCTTTGACAGAGGGGCTCCCAGAGCCCCTTGCTTGAAGGCCTGGTGATGCATGAAGCTCTGCCTCCATCTGCCTTCCCCACTCCCACAGCTCTCCCCGGAGCCTTAATCCGCCTGGAGCGTGGGCTGCCTGCAAACTCCTCTGCTGCGGCGCCTGACGCCCCCCTGGGCCCCTTCTCCGCTTTCCCAGCGGCCACAGAGCAGAGGCTGCGCCAGGGTCTGTGGGGCACAAAGCCACTGGCGGGGAGGGGGCCCCCCCTGACCCCGTCCCTCCCTGCTGCGGGCAGCCCGCCTCTGCCAGCCTGTGCAGACCTGCAGGCGGCATTGGCAGCCCTGCCGGGGCCACAAACACACCCAGGAGGGTGTGAGCAGGCAGCAGAGCAGGGATCAGCTGCACAGGGACGCCCAGCTGAGAGCCCAGCCCCAGCACTCGCCCGGTGTCCCAGCTGCGGGAGCTGACATCTGCAGGGAGCAGGTATTTTTGTCCTCGCTGCCCCGAGGTGGCAGCCCGTGCCATGGGGGAAGCTGGCCCCTGATGCCACGGGAGCTGTGGGAGAGCTGGCAAGAGCGTTACGGGGTGAGGAGGGGTGATCATCCTGGTCCTGTCTGGAAAAGAAAGGGACCACTCGTGCTCCGGAGAGAGGAGATGGGGAGCCCGGGGCTGATTGCGTGGGGGAGATGTGGGGCATGAGGCTGGGAGTGGGGGGTCTGAACTTGCTGCTCTTACTGTCTTGGGATCACCCTGTTTTCCACGCTGATCCGGGAGCTCTGTCCTCCTTCTTGTGAGGTTGGGGGACAGCGGGGCTGGATGTCACCTCCAGCTGACGTGCCTGGTGGCACGCAGCCTGGGCTGGCTCACCTCCATGAGGGACTCTTGCCCTGCCTGTGGCCACCTGGTTGTCCTGTGCCACCACCCCTGGGGCACAAAGGTCTCTGCGGGACTGGGAGCGCACGCTGCTGTGTCAGTGACAGTAGCGACAGGTTCGTCACACCTTCAGGCTCCCTGTGCCTCCCACGCTAGGGCTGGGGGTGTGCTGGGGGGGTTGTTTGGTGGGAACTGAATGAGGGCTCCTTCCAGCCCTGGTGGACCTTCAGCCCCCACCTTGGAGCTGGAGCAGAAGCTGACCATGGTCTGCATTGTGCCCAGTCCAGCTCTGTTTGGGACCGGTGCCCTGTGCAGGTGTGTTGCACAATAACTACTGGCGCTGCTGCTGCGGTCCTGCTCTGAGCTGGGGAGCAGGGTGACATTTTCCCTCCGAACCCTCTAGATAGCACCACTGGCATAGATTTGTGGCCGCTGCTCTGCCAAGCTCCTGTCCTGGCGGCTGCAGCCTCTGGGAGCAGCTGAGTGCTGAGGTTTGCCTTGTGCCCGGCAGCCTCTCCTCCTGTACTTTGCACACTGCGTGGGAGTCACGCAAGGTGTCCCTCAGCCGCTGCTGGTACCGCTGCTCTGCCCGTGTGAGTGGGCACAGGGCGACTCCTTGGGGATGCTGGCTGAGCCCTCTGCTCTCTGGTGGACATGGTGCCTCTGCTTCTGGCAACAGGAGGGGTATGAGCCTTCAGCCAGAGCCCCTGGGCATCAGGGAGGGAAACTGCGTAGTCCCGTGGCTTCCTGCTCCTGTGTTAGGGCTGGCTCCTTCAGTGCCATCACCGAGCAGATCACAGCTGCTGATCTCATCCCTAGAAGACGGAGGGGGCAGCAGATGTGGGCACCGCTGTGCTTGCTTAGCATCCCCTGTGTCTTGGCTGCCTGGACCTGCTGATGGCAGCCCCCAGCCTGCAAAAGCCAGCTGGGCAGGTTAGGGGTCCCACTCTTGGGTTGGTACCTGGCTGTTTGTGCCCCAGTGTCCTGGAGGACACTCTGCACGCTACCCCTGAAGACAAATATACTGGTGGGATTTAAGAGTGAGGTGCCACACTGGGCTGTGCCATGTCACAGGGGAACACCAGGCTGACATTGGCTATAGTCAGGGCATGACAGAGCTGCTCTGGTGTGGCTGGCTGGGACTGGGAGGGCCTGGGCTAGCTCTGTTCCCCCTCTCCAGGGCCCAGGGTGGGATGGAATGTGGTCCTGCTAGGCACACCCTTGCCCCCAACATTGGAGAGGATGTGGCTGGGAGGATGTGCCACTGTGTGGGTCCTGGAGGACACTCTGCACACTACCCCTGAAGAAAAATATACTGGTGGGGTTTAAGAGTGAGGTGCCACACTGGGATGTGCCGTGTCACAGGGGAACACCAGGCTGACACTGGCCATAGCCAGGGCATGACAGAGCTGCTCTGGTGTGGCTTCCTGGAGGACACTCTGCACGCTACCCCTGAAGACAAATATACTGGTGGGATTTAAGAGTGAGGTGCCACACTGGGCTGTGCCATGTCACAGGGGAACACCAGGCTGACATTGGCTATAGTCAGGGCATGACAGAGCTGCTCTGGTGTGGCTGGCTGGGACTGGGAGGGCCTGGGCTAGCTCTGTTCCCCCTCTCCAGGGCCCAGGTTAGGATGGAATGTGGTCCTGCTAGGCACACCCTTGCCCCCAACATTGGAGAGGATGTGGCTGGGAGGATGTGGTCGGCTGGTGCCTGTGCCTGGTGCAGTGGTCACAGTGAAATGAGTGTGGTTTAATCTGCGGGGTGACAGTGTTGCGTGGGGTGCCTGGCCTGTTGGGGAGGTTGGGACTGAAGGAGCTGGGGCTGTTTAGTATGAGGAAGAGGAGGCTGAGGGGAGACCTCATCACTCTCTACAACTACTTGAAAGGACACTGTAGAGAGGTTGGGGCTGGTCTCTTCTCACAGGTAATTAACAATAGAACGAGAGGGAATGGCTTCAAGCTCCAACAGGGGAGGTTTAGATTGAACATTAGGAAGGAATTTTTCACAGAAAGAGTGGTCGGGCGTTGGAACAGGCTGCCCAGGGAGGGGGTGGAGTCCCCATCCCTGGCTGTGTTTAAGGGCCGTTTAGATGCAGTGCTGAGGGACATGGTGTAGGGGAGGACTTTGTAGAGTAGGGGAGATGGTTGGACTCGATGATCCCAAGGGTCTCTTCCAACCTCAATGATTCTATGATTCTATGAGGAGAGGGAGCAGCTTGGCAGCAGGGCCAGCAGTAACAAATATGGGGTTTCTCGGGGTGGATAAAGGGACACCTTGTTTGGGGCTCCCTCCAGCCGAGCACCAGGAATCTGGGGACCACAGCAAAGGGTCCTGGCCCTCTCCCCAGTGGTAGCCCCGCACCCAGCCTGGGTGCCTGCGACTGTGGCAGTGGGTTTCCCCCCCAAACTGCCGCTCTCCCCCCCTGCCCCCATAGCACTTGGACCAACAGCCATCCAGCGCCCGTTCAACTGCAGCTCCCCCAGCCCCCCGGGTGCCCGTTGCTGTGGGAGCTGAGCTGGGAGGGCTGCCGGGATGATGCTGCCTTCGTGGGGACCTGGGCTGAGGGAGGAGGACGGGGACTTCCCAGGCTGTTGCATGTACCCCGAGCTGTGCAGTGGGAACCCTGGGCTGCAGCACGGTCCTTGCGGCTGGGCTGCTCCCAGGGAGCCTGGGTGCAAGGCTGAGTCAAGCTGGCCGGTGACACTGCCATCCCCTGGAGCCTGCACGATGCTCCTGGCTCCCAGGAGCACCAAACCCTGGGCTGGGGAGCTGCTCCCCACCAACTCCGGGCTTGCTCCAGCTTGTTGCAGTCCCAGGGCAGGCTGCGGAACAGGTTGGGCAGCATCCTTAGCTCTCCCGCTTTCCCTGGCACCGCTCCTTGCCTGGCCAGCAGGCCCGCTATGTCCCAGGGCTCTGGGGCAGCTGCTTGCCCAGGTACCTGGACCCAGGATGGTGCAGTGCCCCATCCCCATGGGGCGGTGGGTTGGGAGGTCTGTGCCAACATGCTGTGTGCCTCCCCTGCAGGACGCCTGGCCGTTGGCCCGGGACAGCTGGGCGCTATGGCGCATTCCCCTGGCTGCTGCCACCCCTGTGCCACCTGCCTGCTCTGCCTCTACAGCTGCCGCTGGGTCACTGCCAAGAAGAGGAAAGGCCTGAAAACCACCAAGGTGATACCACGGGTGATGCTGAGCTGGGGCATGGGTGGCTGGGGTGGGGAAAGGCTCCATCTGGGGGGCGGTTCAGCCCAGACATTGGGCTACTGACCCCTTGTATGGGGGGTCCTGAGCCCCAAGAGAGCTGGGGTGCTACCTGGCACCCTCTCTGTCCAAGGAGGGTGAGTTTTCTGTTCCTGCTGGGTGAGGAGGAGGAGCTGTGGCTGTCCCCTGCCCGGCCGAGCGTGTGTCTGCAGCATGGCTCACGCGTGCCTGGAGCCCAGCACTGTGCTCCCCGAGGGCTGAGCGTGCCCTGGGGCACTGAGTGCCTGGCAAGGCACGTGAGAGGCACGGTTCCTGAAGATGGGGTGCTGGAAGGGGGTGTCCCCGGCAGTTTGTAACCTGGGAGAGGTGGGGCCCTGGGATCCTCCGAGGTCTCCAACTCCCATGGGAGTGGTTGTGCCACTGCTTGTCCCGTCTTGCCTGGAATGTGCAAGCTGGTCCAGGCTGCTGGGTGTCCCGCTCAGCACCTGTGGCACCCCTCACCTCCCTGTGTATGCGGGGTTGGGGGCTGGAGACCCTGAAGCTGGACCTGGCTTTGGCTGGGCAAGCAGGAGCAGTCTGCAGGCTCAGTGCTGTAATGGCAGCTCTGGGGCACAGCACCCCTCTCTGCCCAGCTTAGGAGGGAACAGGACCTGTTTCCCTGCCCCTTCCCATATCCAAAGTCCCCACCCTGCTCCCAGGGGCTTCCCTGTCCTGTCATAGTGGCTGTCCTCCCCATTCTGGCCTAGGCAGCTTTGTAGGAGATGCTGGTCCATCTTCCTGTAGCATTGGTCCAGCCAAAAGAGCTCTCCTGGGGAGCTCGGTGCCTGGAGCCCTGAGGCTAGTGCCTGCTGTGCCCTCCTCTGCAGGGGTCTCAGCAACCTGGCCAGGGGCTCCATGCCCTGCAGGTGTATGCATAACAGTCATCTCTGGCTTTCAGTGTGACTGCAGCTGGTTCCTTTTCCTCTTCTGCGTCTTCCTCTTCATGCTGGTGTGGCTCTACTTCGCCATCATCATCCTCAATGATTTCCACAACTTCAATGAGTGAGTAGGATCCCACATCCAGCCTTGCTCCCCACCGTGCCCCCTGCCCCTCTGACCATCCCCTTTGCTGGCAGGTTCATCTTCAAGCAGAAGAAGTTGTGGCTGGACTGGTCCCTGGTCCTGCTCATAGCTACAGCCGTGCTGATCACCTACTCGACTGCGCTGCTGGTGAGCCCCGCTGATCCCACCTGGGCTAGTGGGGGTACGGAGCTGTGAGGAGCCAAGGAGTCAGCAGCATTTGCCCTGTGTCAGCCTGAGCATGGCCAGAGAGCCTGTGGCTGAGTCTTGTGCCCTTATAGGGCTGAGGTGTGGGGTACAGCCCAGCTCTGACATGTCCTCCTTCTTCTCGTAGGTCCTCGCTTTGTGCTCATTCTGTTCCCTCTCCATGGGGCAGCTCGGTGCCTGGGGCCCTGAGGCTAGTGCCTGCTGTGCCCTCCTCTGCAGGGGTCTCAGCAACCTGGCCAGGGGCTCCTTTGTAGGAGATGCTGGTCCATCTTCCTGTAGCATTGGTCCAGCCAAAAGAGCTCTCCTGGGGAGCTCGGTGCCTGGAGCCCTGAGGCTAGTGCCTGCTGTGCCCTCCTCTGCAGGGGTCTCAGCAACCTGGCCAGGGGCTCCATGCCCTGCAGATGTATGCATAACTGTCATCTCTGGCTTTCAGTGTGACTGCAGCTGGTTCCTTTTCCTCTTCTGCGTCTTCCTCTTCATGCTGGTGTGGCTCTACTTCGCCATCATCATCCTCAATGATTTCCACAACTTCAATGAGTGAGTAGGATCCCACATCCAGCCTTGCTCCCCACCGTGCCCCCTGCCCCTCTGACCATCCCCTTTGCTGGCAGGTTCATCTTCAAGCAGAAGAAGTTGTGGCTGGACTGGTCCCTGGTCCTGCTCATAGCTACAGCCGTGCTGATCACCTACTCGACTGCGCTGCTGGTGAGCCCCGCTGATCCCACCTGGGCTAGTGGGGGTACGGAGCTGTGAGGAGCCAAGGAGTCAGCAGCATTTGCCCTGTGTCAGCCTGAGCGTGGCCAGAGAGCCTGTGGCTGAGTCTTGTGCCCTTATAGGGCTGAGGTGTGGGGTACAGCCCAGCTCTGACATCTCCTCCTTCTTCTCGTAGGTCCTCGCTTTGTGCTTGCAGCTCTGCGGCCAGCCCTTGAAGCTGCACTGGCTGCACAAGGTGAGAGGCTTGGGGTGCAGGGAGATGGTGCCTGACCTGGCTGTCCTTGCACCTCGGGAAGCTGTGACCCACCTACTGGGGCTGCATGGGGCTGCTGTGCCCCCCCAGAGTGGCTGTGTCCCCCCACTGAGCTGGGCTGCAGCTCCTAGTCCCCCAGCCCAGCCACGCCGTCTCTGTGATGGTATATTTCCCCTGCTCAAAGCATGGGGTGCAGAGCTCAGCTGCAACCCCAAATGGGGGAGATGGGGTCTGGGGGCTGGGAGGGGCTCAGGAGGAAGAGATGAGGAGGACTCTGGCCCGCAGGATGCTGTGTGCTCCCCTAACTGCCCTGTGCCCTGCCCCACAGGCCCTGCTGATCGTATCGGCCCTGGTGGTGGCTGCAGCCTTCACAGGGCTGGGAATAAAGTGGGCGGAGGAGTGGAGAAGCGCACGTATCTCCCTGCAGGTGAGTCACCTCCATACCAGGGACTCCCCCGCCGTACCCAGTACCTGGCCTGGGGGGGTGAGCCGGAGGGTGGTGACTTGGAGCCCCCAGCATGGCTGTGTGCCACGGGTGGTTAACGCCCTGCCCTTGACTTCTGCTGCCTGGCTGGGCAAGGTGCTCCTCCTGCTCTTGTAGTCCTGCCTGGAGCAGCTGCAGTGAGAGTGAAGAATGGTGGCTGGACCAGAGTGGGGAGTCTGTTCCATACCCCAGGAGCCTGTCCTGCCCTCCCTGGCACTGTGGCTCTTCCAGCGGTTCTGGCTGCAGTGGCAGATCCTGGCATGGGAGCATGTGGCTTTTGGGGACAGGGGCTGGGCTGCTGCTGGCTGACACTTTTTTTCTTCAGCCTGGAGAAGAGAAGGCTCCAGGGAGACCTTAGAGCAGCTTCCAATATCTGAAGGGAGCTCCAGGAGAGCTGGGGAGGGACTCTTTGTCAGGGAGTGCAGTGACAGGACAAGGGGGAACGGTTTTAAATTGGAAGAGGAGAGATTGAGATGAGACACCAGAAAGAAATTCTTTACTGTGAGGGTGGTGAGGCACTGGAACAGGGAAGTCGTGGCTGCCCCATCCCTGGAGGGGTTCAAGGCCAGGCTGGATGGGGCTTGGAGCAACCTGGTCTGGTGGGAGGTGTCCCTGCCCAGGGCAGGGGGGTTGGAGTATGATGATCTTTAAGGTCCCTTCCAACCCAAGTGATTCTGTGATTCTCTGCCTCTCCAGGCAACAGGTCCCTTCCTGCACATTGGAATCGTGGGGGGAATGACGCTCCTTGCCTGGCCCCTGGCCAGCTTCATCTACCGCACCCACAACAGAGGTAAATCCCCCTCCAGTGTCTCCATCTCCCCCCTGGCTGGTGCCCTGCTTCCTACCACTCAGCTGAGTGGCACTGGTGGCAGAGTGGTGCACAGAGAGCATCGGTGCAGTGGGAACAGGTCCCCAGGACTCAGCCTGGTAGCAGTGCCCCGTCTTGGTCACTGCTTCTCATACCCAGCCCTTGGTGCAGCTTCAGCCCTCACTGCTTTGCAGTGGATGGTAGGACTATGGATGGAAGACTTGAGTCCTGCAGAAGTGTTAACTTGGGGTGCAAGGACATGGAATGGGCCGAGAATAACTTGGTGCAGCTTCAGCCCTCGCTGCTTTGCAGTGGATGGTAGGACTATGGATGGAAGACTTGAGTCCTGCAGAAGTGTTAACTTGGGGTGCAAGGACATGGAATGGGCCGAGAATAAACCTGCAGTGTTCCTGAGGCTGGGGATGCAATGCCTCACCCAGGGTGACCATAAGTTAATGCCAGGTGAAGAAGCCTTGGCTTTTTCCTAACAGCCTGCAAAATACTTCCTCTGTACCTCACCCCTCTATCTTCTCTGTTTTCTCCTGCAGGTGTCAAGGTGTTTCTGCTGCTTGTGTACTGTGCGGTGATGATCGCACTGTATCTGGCTCCCCTGGGAATCACCTCCCCTTGCATCATGGAGGAGAACCAGCTGCCCCCCAAGCCGGCCCTGGTTGGCCACCGAGGAGCTCCCATGGTGAGCGAGCAGCACCAGCAGCGCCCTGGTACAGTGGGCAGGGTGGATGGGGCAGTGAGAGCCAGGCTGTGCCTGCTGGTGGGGCACTGGCATCTCAGACCCTTGTGGCTGCAGGTCTGGGCGAGCTCTGGCCAGCCCAGTATTGAGGGGTCCCCACAGCAGCCAGGGCAGCACAGGGTGAGGAGGAAGGGTGAGCAGGGTGGGTGGGCACAGGGCAGAGCTGCTTGCTGGGGGCTGCTGGGCCAGGAGCAGACAACTCTGAGCAGCAAGCCTGGCTGTGTAGTGTGGGCTGGAAGCAGGACTAGGCAGGCTCTGGCTGTCTGCACCCAGCCTTTTTCCATCCCTGATCCTACCGGGGTCACCCATCTCACTGTGGTTGTCCCAGAGCCCAGCCAAGCTGCTGGGTGCAGCCAGAGAGGGTGATGAGTGCCTGCCTCTTCCTCCCTGTGCCCTCTGCACTAACACTGTTCCTTTTCCAGCTGGCCCCCGAGAACACCCTCATGTCACTGCACAAGGCGGTGGACTGTGATGTGCAGGTCTTTGAGACAGACGTCATGGTGAGGTAAAGGGGTGGTAGGGACTTGGAGGGAGGAAAGGGTCTGTGTATCCTGGGATGGCACGTCCCACGCGGGCTGTTTTGGAACACACCTGAGGATTGGCATAGCCTGAATGGCTCTGCCATTCCCGCCTTTCCAGTGTGGGACTGGCTCCAGCTTGGTGTCCCAGATCATTATCTGGGAGAGGTTCTGGGTTTCTGTCCTCCCCACGTAGGTTGCCTTCCAGGGCATGAGGGGAGAGGCACTGCTTGGAAAAGACCCTGGCTTTAGTTCATCTCATGCAATCCTGCTATGGGAACAGCCGTTGCAGTGAGCTAGGGACTGCTTGGTTCCTGGCTTGGTCTCTAGGTGCTTTGTGCTTTCCAGACACTCACCTTTTTGTGTAGGGGACCACAAGTAGGCATAAGGGTGGGGATTACCCTAGCAGGGTGCCTGGGATGGGGCAGAAATACCAGGGCAGGGATAGAAGACAAACAGCTTGCAATAGAGCTTCTCTCTTTGCTCCTTTGCCAGTGCTGACGGGGTCCCGTTCCTCATGCACGACGAGGAGCTCACCAGGACCACCAATGTGCAGGCTGTGTTCCCCGAGAGGGCTGCCCTGAACAGCACCGCCTTCAACTGGACAGACCTCCAGCAGCTGGATGCTGGCACCTGGTTCCTGGAGGTCAGGATGCCCCTAGAGTGGCTGGTCGGGGATGGGTGCATAGAGTCATGGAGTTATCCAGGCTGGAAGGGACCTCCAAAGGCCATCTAGTCCCACCCCCCCGCAGTCAGCAGGGACACCCCCAACCAGACCAGGTTGCCCAGGGCCTCGTCGAGCCTCTCCTTGAATATCTCGTGGGATGGGGCCTCAACCACCTCCCTGGGCAACCTGTTCCAGTGCTCCACCACCCTCACAGTGAAGAACCCTCTCCTCATTTGTGAGTGAAGCATGAGCCCTGCCCTGGGGAGAGCTCCCTCCTCACCGCTGGTCCTGGCAGACTCCTGTCCAGGGTGCAGAAGCACTTTCACGCCTGCACGAATCCCGTGGGTGCGGTTATGCCCCGAGCTGGGGTTTGTTCTGACTCCTCGGCTGAGTCACGGGGGAGGCTGGTTTGAGGGGAGATGCCTCATGCGTTTGCTCCTGCCTGGGCTTGGAGGCAGCTGTGGCTGGGGCTCTGCCCAAAAGGTGACGAACCGACTGCTGAGCTGTTCTGGGTGCCCACAGGAGTCGAGGCTGCTTGAACTGTGCTGGAGTGGGGAGAAGGGTAGAGGTGCCCCAGGGATGTGCAGGGGCAGGATCCCTGTGCCTGTCTGCACTGGAGAGCGTGTGGAGAGGCCCGTGTAGGAAACTGAGAGCTGGAGACAGGCACCAGTTTGGGAGGTGGAAGCTTACGGGTGGTCTGCCTGTGCCTACTAACTCTGCCTTGCCCTTGCAGCGGAGGCCTTTTCCCACTGTGCAGAGTCTGTCCGATGCCGATCGCCAGGAGGTGACTCGACAGAGGATCCCGTCCCTGGAACAGGCGCTGGAGGCAGCCAAACACAGTAACATCTCCATCATGTTTGACCTCCGGCCTGAGAACCACAGTGACTACCAGAGCTTTGTCAATGCCACCCTGGAAGTGATCTTACAGTCAGGCATCCCACTACAGCAGGTGAGCTGGGCATTGCCGTGCCCTCCTGTCACAGCCCTGCCATGGTGGGAGGTGCCCCACCAACCCCACCCTGAGCATCCCCACCGCTCCCCATATCTGATCCCTGCTGGGGAACCCGGTCCAGGTGTGGGTTGCCAATAATTAGGGGTTAATGCCTGCAGCTTCAGACCCCTCCAGATACTCTGGTTCTCCAGCGCTGGCCACCCTGGTGTGTAAACAGTGACTCAGTGTAGGGAGGGGACCAGCAGCGTGAGCAAGAGCAGGAAAACAATGCTGGGGCTTCCAGCTCCCTGTGCCGTACCGCACCTCTCCCCGCGGCGCTTCACTCCTGTGCAACCGCTTGTGTTGCCTTTGCACTTCATCCAACCTCCGCAGCACGGGACACGTGCTGCCCTCAGGGGATGAATTGGCCCCCAAATCACTTTCCCTTCTTGACTTTTTGGGAATGCAAGATTGGGAGGGGAGAGGGCTAAGATTTGTAGTTGCTGATACAAGGTGTATTCTTGCTGCAGACTTGGGGCCAAAAGGATGCGCTGCTTGATCCTTTCAAGGACCCACCAGAAAGGACATGACTGCTGCAGCTTTCTTAGGTTGAAACTGCTTTCTCCCCTCAGTGGGGTCTGTTGTGTTTTCTTCTTGGCTGGGACAAGCTCTTAGGGAACTGTCCTGGCAGAGATCCTCATGGAGGAGCTGAGCGTGGAGAAGGGGGGCAGGAAGCAGCTGCCTGAGCGGGCCATGTGGGCTTGGGACCTGCAAGGAAATGTTGGAAGGGAGCAAGCTCTCTGGAGCACCTCTCCTCTGCATGTGCTTGCTGGCTCTTGCCTAGGTGCTCTGGCTGCCGGATGGTTTCAGGGAGCAGGTCAAAGAACGAGCCCCCGGCCTTCTGCAAGTCTACGGCAGGAAGAGACTGCAGAATGAGAAGGAGCCGCTGCTGCGTGTCAACCTGCCCTACCAGGACATGAGCTCTGAGGAGATCAGGTGAGAGCCCTGTGCCCCAGGGGCCAGCAGAGGTGTGGGCCAGCTGAGGCCGAGTGCTGGCACGCTGCTGGGAAGGGCAGGGTGTGCGCTCCAGCCTCGTGGACAAACATGCCGTATCAGGCAGGGCTGGTGCAGGGGCTGGAGCTGGCTGCAGTCCTCTGCCTTGCCAGCAAATCTGGGTCTGGCTCTCCAGACGGTTGCTCCGTGTGGCTGCAAATGCTGGAACACATCCCAGATACGCAGCCCTCTCTGGCTGCACGCTGAGTGTGCCGGCACCCTGCTGTCTGCTGCTCTGACCACGGCTCTCCCCGTGCAGGCAGTACCGCCAGGACAACGTCTCTGTCAACCTGTACGTGGTGAACCAGCCCTGGCTCTTCTCCGTGCTGTGGTGCTCCGGGGTGAGCTCGGTCACCACCAACGCCTGCCAGGTGCTGAAGGAGATGAAACACCCCATCTGGCTGCTCGTGAGTAACCCCTCCGTCCTTCACCCTGCCCCACAGCCCTGTGTCCCAGGCACTTGTGGGTCCCTTCCTGCAGCAGCCCTGGGAAGGCAGCTGCTTGGAGGGTGGCTTTTGCTCAGTGCTGTGCTGCTGTGGGAACGTGTGACCCTGCAGAAGGGACTGCTGGCACAGCAGGCTGGGCTGTGCCCCCAGCACACCACCCCTGGCTGGTGTTCACGGCCTGTCTTGTTGCCTTGCAGCCCAGGAGCACGTACTTCATGATCTGGATTGTTGTAGACTGCACTTCTCTTCTCGCCATCCTCTGGGCCTTCCTCTTGCTGAAGTACGTTTGATGCCTTTCCCCTTCCAGGGATGGGTCTGTTGGGGGAGGCTGTAGTGTGTCCTGCGTGGCTGGGACATACCCAAACCTGGTCGTACCTGCTGCCACCCACCTCTAGACTCAGATTTTTTGGGAGTCTTCTCCTGTCTGGTCAAGTGAGGCAGCTTCTATCACCAGGCTGCAGCTAAAAATCTGGTGTGACTCTTCCTGGAGCTGCTGCCCACCTTACTAGCTCGTTCTGGACCCCAGGGCTTGGTGGGGTGAGGCTGGGGGACCTTGGCCCTGCTCTTTTGCGGGCACAGAGAGCAGGTCCCTGTGGGGCTGCGTGTCCTGAGGGTCCCCACAGTCTCCAGCTGGGAGCTTGGGGGAGGGAAGGGGGAGGCCAGGCTGATGGGCTAACATCGATCCTCTTCCATCTCCTAGGAAATGCTCCCAGAGAAGACAGGCAGCGGGTGAGTGTTGCGCGGATGTGAGCTCCCCTCCCTCGCAGCCAGGCTCTGCCTGCAGGACGCTCCCTGGCAGGCAGCTTTCTCCAGCCCCAAAATGACAGGGCGATTTGGGATGGCCGGGGGAGGGAAGGGAATCCCAGCCCGGGAGTTCCTGTCCTGCCCTTAGCAAACAGCTCTGTGGGACGGTGTTGGGGAATCCCACATTCCCCAGGTCTCCCCAAACCTGCTTTTCAGGTCGCTGTGGGATGGTGGCCACCTGCAATGACTGTTTTGATTCTCTTTCTCCCCAGAGTCCGAGACGGACGTGCTGCTCACAAAGATCAACAGCTTGATGCAGGAGTGACCCCTCGGGCCTGCATCAGCCAGGGGAGGGGCGGCCAGAGCCCTGCACAGCTCAAGGGGGGAGCTTCAAGGGGCCACCTTCAAGGCTCCTTTCCTTTGCAGACTCTCTCCTGAGCTTCCCCTCTCCCCGTAGCCTTCCTGCCTCCTCCCGTGGTGCACAACTGCCCTCCGCTGAGATGATGGGGAACTGGGTTCCCAGTTGTCACCCACAGTGAGGAACTGGAGACTTTGCAGGGGTTTTCCTGGGGGCTGGCAGGTGCCCAGGGCCTGAGTGCTAACCCAGGGGGGCTGGGGCCTCTGCCCTGGGGTTTGGACACGGGGGAGCCGGGGTGGGGGGATTTGAGTTGCTGTTTGGTGCAGGGAAACCTTCTTCAAAGTGCTGCTGCCCTGCTCTGAGGAAGAGGAAGGGGGGCAAGGGGGGAGCTGGCTTTTCACAACATAAAGGGGGGAGCTGAGCTCTTCCCGCCCCCACGGTGGGCACAGGTCCTGCCCCTGCTGCTGGCTTCGTGCTTGTGGGGCCGGGTGCTGGCACCCCACGCAGCAGTGACTGCCTGTTGCTCTGGGGGGGGGGGAAACGGGTGCCC